AAAAAAGGCAATGAGAGCCAAAGAGGGGCAGTATATACTGATAAAAGGGACACTCTACCAAGTGGACATAACACTTACAAATATATATGCACCTAACACAGGAGCACCCAAGTACATAAAGCAACTATTAACAGACCTAAAAGGAGAAATTAACAGCAACAATAACAGTAGGGGACCTCAAGAACCCACTTACATCCATGGATAGATCATCCAGACAGAAAGTCAATAAGGAAATAGTGGAATTAAATGAAAAACTAGACCAGATGGACTTAGTAGATATATATGTATAGAACACTCCATCCAAAAACAGCAGAATACACATTCTTCTCAAGTGCACATGGAACATTCTGAAACATAGACCATATGTTGGGAAACAAGGCAAGCCACAATAAATTTAAGAAGATTGAAATCATATCAAGCATCTCTTCCAACCATAATGCTATGAAACTAGAAATCAACCACAAGAAAAAAGCTGGGAAACTGACAAATATGTGGAGACTAAACAACATGCTACTGAACAACCAGTGGATCATTGAAGAAATTAAAGGAGAAATCAAAAAATATCTGGAGACAAATGAAAATGAAAATACATCATATCAACTCATCTGGGATGCAGCAAAAGTGGCCCTAAGAGAGAAATTCATAGCAATACAGGCCCACCTTAACAAACAAGAAAAATCTCAAATAAGCAATCTTAAACTACACCTAACAGAACTAGAAAAATAAGAACTAACAAAGCCCAAAGTCAGCAGAAGGAAGGAAACAATAAAAATTACAAGAGAAATAAAAGAAATTGAAACCAAAAAAAAAAAAAACAATGGAACGGATCAATGAAACTAAGAGCTGGTTCTTTGAGGAGATAAATAAAAAAGACAAGGCCTTAGCCAGACTCACTAAGAAAAAAAAGACAGAAGGCTCAAAGAAATAAAATTACAAATGAAAGAGGAGAAATTACAATGGATACCACAGAAACACATGGGATTATAAGAGAATACTATGAAAAACTATATGCCAGCAAATTGGACAATCTAGAAGGAACGGATAGATTCTTAGACTCATACAACCTCCCAAAACTGAATCAAGAAGAAATAGAGAATCTGAATGGACCAATCACAAGTAAAGAAATTGAAACAGTAATCAAAAACCTCCCAAAAAATAAAAGTCCAGGACCAGATGGCTTCTCTGGAGAATTCTACCAAACATTCAAGGAAGATTTAATACCTATCTTTCTCAAACTATTCCAAAAAATTGAGGAAGATGGAACACTTTGTAACACATTTTTTGAGGCCAACATCACCCTGATCCCAAAGCCAGATAAGGACAACACAAAGAAGGAATATTACTGGCCAATATGGCTGATGAACATAGATGCAAAAATCCTCAACAAAATATTGGCAAACCAAATACAGCAACATATTAAAAGGATCATACAGCATGATCAAGTGGCATTTATACCAAGGATGCAGGGATGGTTCGACATCTGCAAATCAATCAATGTGATACACCACCTTAACAAAATGAGGAATAAAAACCACATGATCATCTCAATAGATGCAGAGGAAGCATTTGACAAGATCCAACATGCATTTATGATAAAAACTTTCAATAAAATGGGTATAGAAGAAAAGTACCTCAACATAATAAAGGCCGTATATGACAAATCCACAGACAACATCATACTCAATGGGGAAAAACTGAAAACCATCCCTCTGAGAACAGAAACAAGACAAGGGTGCCCACTCTTGCCACTCTTATTTAACATAGTACTGGAGGTTTTGGTCAGAGAAATTAGGCAAGAAAAAGAAATAAAAGGTATCCAAATCAGGAAGGAAGAAGTGAAACTCGCACTCTTTGCAGATGACATGATTTCATATATAGAAAACTCTAAAGAATCCATTGGAAAACTATCAGAAATAATCAACAAGTACAGCAAAGTTGCAGTGTACAAAATCAACTTACAAAAATCAGTTGCATTTCTATACTCTAATAACGAGCTAATAGAAAGAGAACTCAAGAATACAATCCCACTGACAATTGCAACAAAAAGAATAAAATATATAGGAATAAATTTAACCAAGGAGGTGAAAGACCTATACACTGAAAACTGTAAGACATTACTGAAAGAAATCGATGATGACATAAACAAATGGAAAGATATCCCATGTACACAGACTGGAAGAATAAACAAAGTCAAGATGTCCATACTACCTAAAGGAATCTACAGATTCAATGCAATCCCAGTCAGAATCTCAATGACATTCTTCAGGGAAACAGAACAAAGAATCCTAAAATTCAATGGGGCAACAAAAGACCCCGAATAGCTAAAGCAATCTTGAGAAAAAAGAACAAAGCTAGAGGCATCACAGTCCCTGACTTCAAAATATACTACAAAGCTATAGTAATCAAAACATCGTGGTACTGGTACAAAAAGACACACAGATCAATGGAACAGAATTGAAAGCCCACAAATAAAATCACACATCTACAGACAGCTAATCTTTGACAAAGGAGCTAAGAACATACAATGGAGAAAGGAAAGTCTCTTCAATAAATGATGTTGGGAAAACTGGACAGCCACATGCAAAAGAATGAAATTAGACCATTATCTTTTGCCATACACAAAAATTAACTCAAAATCGATTAAAGACTTGAAGGTAAGATGTGAAACCATAAAACTCCTAGAAGAAAATATAGGCAGTACACTCTTTGACATCAGTCTTAGAAGGCTCTTTTTGAATACCATGTCTACTCGAACAGAGGAAACAAAAGAAAAAACAAACAAATGAGACTTTATCAGACTAAAGAGCTTCTGCAAAGGCAAAGGAAACCAGGAACAAAATGAAAAGACAACCCACCAACTGGGAGAAAATATTTGCAAATCATATATCCAACAAAGGGTTAATTGCCAAAATATATAAAGAACCCACACAATTCAACTACAAAAAGACAAACGACCCGATCAAAAAAAGGGTAGAGGATATGAAAAGACATTTTTCCAAAGAAGATATACAGATGGCCAATAGACATACGAGAAGATGTTCATCATCACTAATCATCAGGGAATTGCAAATCAAAACTACATAGCGGTATCACCTTACACCTGTTAGAATGGCTATAATCAGCAAGACAAAAAATAACAAATGTTGGAAAGGATGTGGAGAAAAGGGAACCCTCCTACATTGCTGGTGGAATGCAAACTGGTACAGCCACTATGGAAAACAGTATGGAGATTTCTCAAAAAATTAAAAATAGAAATACCATACCACCTAGCGATTCCACTACTGGGTATTTATCCAAAGAACTTGAAACCAACAATTCAAAGAGACTTATGCACCCCTATGTTCATTGCAGCATTATTCACTATGGCCAAGACGTGGATGCAACCCAAGTGCCCATCGACTGATAAATGGAGAAAGAAGATGTGGTGTATATATACAATGGAATGCTACTCAGCCATAAAAAAGGACACAATCGGCCCATTTCCAACAGTGTGAATGGACCTTGAGGGTACTATGTTAAGCCAAATAAGCCAGACAGAGAAAGACAAACACCACATGATTTCACACATATGTGGAAGATAAACACATGGACAAAGAGAACAGACTAGTGTTTACCAGAGGGGAAGGGGGTTGGGGGGTGGGCATAAGGGGTAAAGGGGCACATTTATATGGTGACTGACAAATAACGATGTATAACTGACATTTCACAATGTTATAAACTATTATGACCTCAATAAAAAATTCAATATCATGAAAAATAATTTTTTGAAACGCAGGAGTCCCATTCTAGATCAGACGAAATGAAGGAGACATGACCAAATGAACTGTAACAACCCAGACTGAGAGGGGAGAGTTATAAGAAAGCTGTTTTGAGCAGCTGGAGAAATTTGAATATGGACTCTATACTGGATATTATTGAAGGTATGGTATGTATCTTTGTAGAACACTTCAAATCTCTTTTGAATTATTATGTGCTTAACTACATGAATAAACAGGATGGTGGCAGTGCAAATAGAGCATAAGAGAAAATTTGCAAAGAAAGAAAATGCAGGCTTTATTGGCAGGCTCGTTATTATAGATGAAGGGAACATATTCAAAGATCTCTGGCTTTACTCAGAAAGCAGTGGAACCAAGGACAGAAATGGGGAAGGAAGGGGAAAGATAATTACTGAGAGATGATGAGTTAGGTTTTAGGGAAACTGATTTAGCAGCAAGATATTCAGGGAGATTTTTTAGGCCACTGGGAATACGTTATAGGAAGAGTCAAAGACCCAGCTTGGTGATGTTGATTTGGCAGCCATCAACATTGAAACAATAGCTGAAGCCAAGAAGGGTAAAACCATTCCCTGGTGAAGTGCCGAGACAGAAGACCAACGTATAAGTCCTGTGGGTAAAGCTAAGATTAGGGGTTTGGAAGAGAAACAGATACCAGTGATATTGAAAGGAAAATAGTTAAAGAAGGAGAAGAAAGCATCAAAATAATATTGTCATAGAAGTCAAGGGAGAACATAATTTCAAAGAGCAATATTAGTGTTTGAAAGAGGAAGATGCCAAAATAAGTGCGATGAACAAGGAAAGGACCACTGGATTCATCAAGGAGGCCAGCACTGTTGACCTGTGTGTGGTGGGGCAGAAGCACAGAATCTCATCTGAGGAGCCTCCGCGTGTCTCTCCGTGGTGGTGTGCTAGTTATCAAATCCAACTGTGAAGCCATGTCTTTGAATTTTCATCAGCTTGCTTCACAAAGTAAATATTTGTCTTCAGTATTCTAATATCACATTGCAATCTAATATATTGTAATCACTGACACAAGAATCTCAATCTCAATGTCTCAGTAATTATGGTGACAGAGTGGAATCTAGAATCTAAAATCTAATTACCATAAAATATTCTCATTCTGGGTAAAAAATGTGATAGGAAGTAAATGAAAATGTATTTATTCAGGATCGTGATACCCCTTATTTCCACCATTAAGAAACTCCATGTCAGCAGAAGGCTTACCTTCTCTATGGTGAAGTTGGAGCAGGTCTGATTAAACTTGCTTGCCACAGTGTTGTATTCTGGATCACCAGGCTGCAGCTCAACCACACAGACCTTCTGCTGCTCCATAGCACTCCAGTGCGCAGGGATGTCACCTGCAAAGGACACACTTGAGGACTCCCTCACACCTGGGGAGGTTCATCTACACAGTCTACATGCCTCCTGTGCTTTGAAAAGCTGGCTATCATTTGTGTTCCTGTTTTACAATCTCCTAATTCAATGTATTCAAGAAGTTCCTCATCTTTCTAGGAGAATGCTTTTCAAAGCATGGACCAGAGACAACCTACATCAGAACCAACCATAATGCTTATTAAAAACAACAACAACACAGATCTATCAAATCAAAATCTCTGAGGGGCGGAACCTGTGTACCTGCTTCTTAACAAGTTTTGATCACGCTCAGATTTGTGAACTGTTGGTATTGTATAACTCAGCTGCATATTCTGTTCAGTCTCTAATCTCTTATAATTTAGTAATTTAACAATAAATTATTTTCCCACAATGTTTTAAATAAATAGTCACTATTGTCTTGCTTACAAATGCATGGATTTTTGCCAGAACTCCCCACCACCACAAAGCCCTCCACATCTGTTCTTTCATTGTTCTTCCCAGTGTCCGTATGAGTTGGGTGGGTGGCAGGTTTTGCCATGTGGCAGGTTGTGGGAGCAGCTCTTTCTCCCCTTCTGCTAAATAGATTTGTCATTTCCCCAGGGTTGCTCAGAATCTGAGAAATTCATTCATACCAATCTCACAAGAGATGAAAATAATGTACTGGAAGCCAATTTACTTGTCTTCAGTGGGGAACCTATGTGGTTTGAAGGCAGGAATGGCTGTCTACACAAGACAAGAATTCCTTTCTTGCGGAGAACTGAAGGCTGCTTCCTTTTGCATGTGTCAAGGAACGTTATGTTCAGGGCAGAGGAGGAAGTGACTTCTGGGAGAAGATCCTACAGGCTCCTGATCCTATCTGGGTTATCAGTCACAGACACAGAGAGTGCCCACTTTCTGATCAGGCTGTCATCTCCCTCTTGTTCTAGAAAACCTTGGGCCACTTTTCTTTAAAGCCCATGGCTTTCTCTCTCTTGACGGAAGCAGCCAATGCCTCCTCAATAGAACTGGCTCTGGGAAGCCTGTAAACCACAGAGATGGGAACAAATGCAAGGTTTGGCTATTGCCATGATTAAGATGGTCATCCTCATGCTGTCTGGTGCACCCCTCCTGTATTTTCCTGGACATAATGTAAGCCCCTTAAGCTCAGAGACCACATTTTCTATTTTATTCCATAACAGTTACTTGAATTTTGTCTACTTGAATACAACTTTGATGTATGTACAAAATACAAAGTAGGTGTAAAATAATGGATACAAGCATAAAAGTTTGACTCACCTTCAGATTTCATATGGCGCTGAACAGTTAATTGGTTTCCCTTTGCATCTGTAGCAGTATACGTGTTCAAGTCCACTGTGTAGTTCTGATGATTAATTTCGACACTAATTGTCCTTCTGTTTGCTCTTCTTGCTTCCTCTAATCGCAGATTGGTTATTTTGTCAAAATGATGAAGAGTGTTATTGTCATCATATCGCCATTCTATAAATTCACTGATATAATCTGCCCGGGATTCCTGATCTTTGTCCAACCTGACCCTCTTGATCATTTCCTCAATTGCGTCTCTAGCCTGTATCACATCTCTACTAATTCCCAAAACCTCAATCAAAGGTCTTTTATGGTCCAAGGAAATGGTAATATCTAATTTCTTCTGCAGCTCATTCAATTCCCCATATTCCTTTTCATGAAAGTCTTTGATACATTCCTCTTCACTGGTGTAACGAAACTGTTCTTTTTCAATCAGACCCTGTATCCAAGAGAAGGCGTCTTCCACACGTTTTACATTTTCACCGCACATCTGAAAAACTGCTGATTCTGTTTTCTTTTCCAAAACCAAAGGTTTGTGTTTTGTGGGAGATTGCTTTAAGCCCAAACATGCTAAAAAAGAAAAGAGAGGAAGATTAGCTATTTCTTTCTTTCTTTTTTTTTCTCTATCACCATATTGTACATTATATCCCCTGGGCTTATTTTCCTTATAACTGGAAGTTTCTACCTTTTGAGCACCTTTACCCATTGTGCCCATCTCCCATCACTCTGGCAACCACTAATCTGTTCTCTGTATCTATGAGTCAGTTTTTGTTCTTTTTTTCAGATTCCACATATAAGTGATATCATACAGTATTTGTCTTTCTCTGTCTGACTTATTTTACTCAGCATAATGCCCTCAAGGTCCATCTATGTTGCTGCAAATGGCAAGATTTCATTCTTTTTCATGGCTGAATAATATTCCATTATATATGGAATATTATGTATATATGCGTCCATATATATATATTCCATATATATATGTATTCCAAATATATATATATTCCATATCTATCTATCTATCTGCCACATTTTCTTTAACCATTCATTTGTTGATGGACACTTAGGTTGTTTCTATGTCTTGGCTATTGCAAATAATGCTGTAGTGAACACAGAGAGATATCTTTTTGAGATAGTGATTTCATTTCCTTCAGATAAATAACCAGAAGCGGAATTGCTGGATCATATGGTAGTTCTAGTTTTAATTTTGGGGGAAACGTCCATACTGTTTTCCATAGTGGCTGCACCAATTTACATTCCCACCAACAGTGCACAAGGATTCCCTTTTTTGCACATCCTCACCAACACTTGTTATCTCTTCTCTTTTTGATAATAGCCACTCTATCAGGTGAAGTGATATCGATCTTATTATAGTTTTGATTTGCAGTTCCCTGATGACTAGTGATGCAGAGCATCTTTTCATATACTTTTTTTTTGGCCATTTGTATGTCTTCTTTGGAAAAATGTCTATTCAGATCCTCTGCCCACATTTTAATCAGATTGTTTTAATGCTATTGAGTTGTATGAGTTCTTCATATATTTTAGATATTAACCCCTTATCAGATACATGACTTGCAAATATTTTCTTCCACTGCATAGGTTGCCTTTTCATTTTGTTGATGGTTTCCTTCACTGTACAGAAGCATTGTAGTTTGATGTGGTCTTATTTGTTTATTTTTGCTTTTGTTGCCTTTGCTTTTGGAGTCAAATCCAAAAAATCATTGCCAAGACCGATGTTGAGGAGCTTACCTCCTATTTTCTCCTAGGAGTTTTATGGTTTCAGGGTCTTACATTCAAATCATCAATCCATTTTGAGTGGATTTTTGTGTATGATATAAGGTAGTGGTCCAGTTTCATTCTTTTGCATGTGGCTGTCCAGTTTTCCCAAGACTATTTCTTTTAGTGTATATGCTGTCAAAGCGAGCACCCAACACTATTAAAGAGACTGTCCTTTCCGCATTGTATATTCTTGGCTCCTTTGTTGTAAATTCATTAACCTTATATGCAGGGGTTTATTTCTGGGCTCTCTATTCTGTTCCATTGTTCTATGTGTCTGTTTTTATGCCACTATCATACTGTTTCGATTAATATAGTTTTGTAATACAGTTTGAAATCAGGAAGCTGATGCCTCCAGCTTTGTTCTTCTTTTTCAAGAATTGCTTTGGCTATTCAGGGTCTTTTGAGGTTCCATACAAATTTTAGGATTGTTTGTTCTATTCCTGTGAAAAATGCCATTGGAATTTTGGTAAAGATTGCATTGAATCTGTAGATTGCTTTAGGTAATATGGACATTTTAACAATATTAATTCTTTCAATCCATGAGCACAGAATATCTTTCCATTTATTTGTGTCTTCTTCAATTTCTTTCATTGATGTCTTATAGTTTTCATTGTACAGGTCTTTCACCTCGTTGGTTATATTTATTCCTAAGTATTTTATTCTTTTTGATGTAATAGTAAATGGGATTTTTTTCTTAATTTCTCTTTCTCATAGTTCATTAAAGATTAGCCATTTCTCATGTGACATCAATATTAGGAACATGCATTTCATAAAAATGAACAACTCACATGCATGTTTAGATATCACAGACTGTTGGAGAGAAGCCTGAGATCCTTCTCTTTTTTTCATGTTGGCATAAAACACATCCAGCACTTGAGGCAGAAAGATAACAACTTTAACTTTTTTCACAGACTGGACTGATCCTTTCTGGATAAATTCTTCAATGGCATCAATTATGGCTCCAGCAACCTTATCCGGATCTTGTTTGGCATTTCCTGGAAAGGCAAATAATAAAAATTACTGGAAAAAAAACTCAACTGGAAAAGGCTGAGGAATAAATTAGGTATTCCAATTCTCACAGAATAAATGCCCACTTCCCACCTCTCACCACCATGGTGTTTTCCAACACTGCATCAGCAAACACTTTTGAAGTCCTAGATGCAATGGCGCGTTTTTGTTCCAGGATGTCAGGAAGCCAACAGCCCCACAATGAACAAAGGACCCAGAAACCTAGCTTTCGGTGTCTGATGTTCATACCTGCTCTATCATCTGACCCCAGCTTACTGTGTTCCTTGGTGTCTGATGTTCATATCGGCTCTATCATCTGACCCCAGCTTACTGTGTTCCTCTGCTACAGTTAACCTTTCTTAGCTCACTAGTGTCTTCAAAAGATCCATGAAAAGGAAAAAAAAAAGCTGATATATGTTGAAACATCATGCTCTTTAAAGAGAACAGCAATATTTTTTTCTCAGTCATCACTTGACTTTATGCATGTGTCCTTATTCTCTTTGGGGAACTGATTTAAACTCAGCCAATTTTGCAAGACACCTGGAGCTATAAGCTATTTGTTATAATCTCTAATTCTTTGCACACAAGTTGCCCATGAGCCTCAAGGAAGCCTTTCCTCCCACACTCAGTGAGATTTTAGTTGACTTGCAGAGTTCAAGGTTGTCACCTGAGCAGGTCTTTTCCTATTTTCTGCATGCTCCATATATTGTTTCTTAAGCCTACTGCCTAGGTCAGAGCATGAGAAGTCCCATGAAAAGTCATGGAAGCAGTCCCATATGAATGGGAGCTGACAAAGTCACTTGGGGGGTGGGGAGCAATGTAAAAGTCCCCTGGCCAGCCTGGTGGGATAGATGAAGGACCCACCATTACTGCAGAAATGAGAATAGCCCTCTTTGACTTGGCTATGTAGAACATTGTGGGAATGTAGACAATCCCACATAAAACTAACCAAGAGGGTTTGTTTGATTAGATGAGCAGGGGAACAGGGGAATTCTCCTTTGCAAAGCTGTGGTTATCTCAGCACATTTGGAAGGATTTAAACAGGAGTGTTCAGATACATTCATTCACTCTCAGTAAACAACTACTGTGTCCCATCATAGGCTAGATGCTCATCTAGGCACTTAGGACACAGAGGATGTGATATGTGGGCATGACCAAGTGTTCAACAGGTAAAGTGTGGGAAACTGAACTGTGTAACAGGGGTGTGAGATGTTCAACCCGGTGTGTTCAGGGAATAGATCTGTTTTTGAGAAAGATAAATCTGGCAGGGGAGTGAAGTGGAGAAGCCATTGGAGCAGGGAGCCCAGGTCTAGATAGGACGCTATAATAAGTGCTTAGGCAAAAGACAAGAGCTGAACAAAGAGAGGAGGCCAGAATGAAAAGTCAGGTATAGGGACTGCGGAGATATTTAGGAAGTAAAGTCAGCAGGACCTAGTGACCACCTGGGTTTATCCTTGACCCTTTGTCCCCCCTCTTCTGCACCCCTCACCCCTTCATGTGTATATCATGGGTCACGCTGTATTGCAGTTGCTTACAAGTCTGTCTCTCACAGGAGGCTGGGTGCTCCTTGGGGACTGGACCCTTTCCTTAGTCATCTTTCTATCCCCAGTGCCTACGCACTGTGCCTGGCACATGGCAGGCACTCACTAAATATTTAATCAAACTAAATAATAAGCTAAAGAACATGGGAGTGATAAAGAGGGTAGAGTCAAGGATTCTAGATAGAAAGTGTTGCTTTTAACATGATCGGTGATATATCAGGAAGGGCTGGTTTGGGGGAGAAGACAATAAATTGGAGCTTGGAGTCTGCATAGAGCTTGAGGTGCTTGCAGGCTTCGCTGATCTCCTTCTCTCCTCTTAGGCAGGCATGTGTAGGGAACAGGGAGAGGGTTTCCTTTACTGCTGAAAGCTTCTTGATCACAGTCCCAATTCAACTCATAGACACCACTAAGGGAGAAAGCTCCCCCATCCATTAGTCTAAGGACCAGCTCAGGTGGTGCTGGAGATAGGAAAAGAAGACAAGCAAGGAGAATCTGCTCACCTTGCTTTATTCATACAGCCCAGCAATGCAACCAGGTCAGTGGAAGAAACAACATGTTTGCAGTAACCCATAAATACTCAAACATATGTACGTATTTATACAAAACTAAAATGGCCTCCTTTCCTTGTTTCTTCTTGGCTCCACTGAGGGACTCCCTTGGGAAGGGCTGTGTCACTCCTGGGCTGCCTGCTTTCTTGGCCCAAATAAATTAAGGTAGAAACACAGGACCAGAGTGCAGAGGAGAAAGCAGATGGAGACAGAGACTGAGGAGTCATTAAGTGGGTGACCATAAAAGATGATAGATAGACACGACAAACAGACAGACAGGTACTATGTTGGCTAATCCACTAGGATTGGATGATACTAAAAGGGGAATGAAAACATAAAGGGACTATAAATTATACACTTAGAAATAGAAAAGTAATAAAGTAGACATAGCATTCCATGTGGGAACATTAAGATGAATGGTAGAGAATTACAGAAATCAAAATATGGGACAGAGGATTAGAAGAAGGCTCAGACAGTGACAAGGATGGTTAAGTTTATTGAGGCAAAACTTTTGGAGGGCCTAGAATGTCAGTGTAGGACACTCAAATTTAGATTCCCAAGCAACAGAATATCAACCTACCAATGAGTGTTCTCTCTCTGGGACCAATCTGCTCCATTCCACCTCAAGACTGAGAGTGTTCGCCTCCCCTGACCAGCTCTCTTAAGGGAGAGCAAGCAGGAGTTCCTAATCAATGCACATGACTCAGATTTCTGGGAAAAGAGCTCGCAGAGCATCACCCTACTAATGATAAACCCAAAGCTCCATCCTGATATATGAAGAATCACACAATCATTGTACAGTTTGAGGAAAGCATGAAACTCAAAAGAGGCAAGTAGGCTGAAAAGAGGAAGGTGGAGAGTTGAGTTTCTGACCCATTAGAACCCATTAGGTTCCGGTGACTGAATGGCTTCTACCCAGAGATGTCCTAAAGCCAACCTAGACAGGCACTGTTGAAGAGGTGAGAAAAGAGGCCTGGAAATGCTCATCTGGGAGTCAGCTACAGGGAGGTGGAAGTCAACACACTGATGTTCTGCATGGAGAGGGGAGAGAGAAGGAAGTTAAAGACCAAATAATGGGGGAAAAGTGGGGATGGAAAAAAGAGAAAGGAACGGATGAAAGAGAAGAAGAGATGGGCTTTCTTTCTCTTTCCCTCCCCTCTTTTCCCTTCCCTTCCATATTAGAGAGCAAATGTCTCTCTAATATTCTAAAACTCTCTTTGGTTTTCTTTATTTTTCCCTCTTTACTTAAATCACCCACAAGCTTTGCCCATTCCCTCAGGGGCTGCCTTGGGGTGAGGAAGCTGCCCTGACTCAGACCCAGCACTAACTACATTAACAGTCAGCCCCAAATCTACGAGAAAGTGGACGCCTTGGGATTTCGCCTTCCGGAGGAGGCCACAAACCTGTCCCAATGGCTGGGAGGCAAATGGACGAGTAATTCCGCTTTTCACACTCTTGTAAAACACAGGAAACGGATGTCTTGACATCCTTTCCGCCAACGACATGAATAATGTTCTTGCACTTCAGTGATCCTCCTTCAGTAATTATATAATCATGGTTGCCCTGCTGAGCTGGGAAACACAAGACAAAAAGATGCAAAATCAGATGCTGAACCCACTCTTTGATTGCTTAGAAAGCAAAATGTCTGATTTGGCAAATGAAGCGTTTTTTTGTGAATGAGAGACTCCTGAAATACTATTTTGGAGAAATCTTTCTTGCTTACCCTCTTTTTTGAACTGTGAGATTACTTTTCACTTCTAATTCTCTACATTTGGAATTCTTTTGTAAAATGTGTGATTTTAAGATTAATATGCTGTCTCCCCAATCCCAACACTTTCCCCAGCCTCTCCATAGCCTCCCATTTTCAGTCTTCCACTTATGATTTAGGACCAAAAATAGCATTGTGCTTTACCTTGGCGAGAACATTCCATTTCCACACTTTGTCCGGCATGTTCTAAAATTGCTTTGGAGACCCCTACATGAGAAAATCAAGATGGTCACAAATATGAATTAAAAAATCCATATAGTGCATTTTAATCAGAATGATTGCCTCATTATCCAAATGTGTTCCCTGTCATCAAAGGAATCCTATAACCCGGGTATTTCTGATAAAAAGAAGAAAAATTCATGAAATAACTGTTACCAATTATGAGAAACCATGTCAAAATAATTTTAAAATTCTTAATTAATATTAATAAACCAAAGTTGTAGAAACCAGTTTGGCTATAGGAACCTCCCTTATGGGATCTACTGTGACTATTACACTAGTCAAAATCCTATAAGTAAAGTACCTGCTTTGAGATTAAATGTGTTTGATGTTGAATTCACAATCACATCTGCCTCTTCTTTGGTGATATCTCCAGAGGCCACCTGGAAGATGATGGGACCAATCTTCATTTCATGCACTCCTAAAACAGGGCTGGAAAGAGTCCCATAGAAACCTGAAAAGAATACAAATGGAGTCCAGAACAAGTTGGCAACAGCAAGAATGACTTAGGTCTCATGCTCCTCACGTGTTCCCCTCTCATACTTCTTCCCCCGCTCTCTCTGTGATCTCTGGCCTTTAACCTGGCCCTTACCCTGAGCCCCAGTGATGATCTGCTTCTGAAAAAGGATTATGAAGTATAATACATATCAAACATAGACTTCTGGTGCAGGCCAAGGTGAAGTTAGCCCACTAGAGCCCTCTCTCTCCCACTGATTACAACTGAAAATGCAGGACAAAGAAGAGAAGCCACTAACTGAGAACTAAAAAGTGAACAATGGCAGGCAGATTGGGGAAGGGAGTCAAAATTGAAGAAGCAACCTCATACACTGCTGGCGAGAAGGCCAACTGGTGCAGCCACTATGGAAAATGGTTAGGAGAGTTCTCAAAATATTAAAAAATAGAAATACCATATGATTCAGCTATTCTACTACTGGGTATTTATCCAAAGAACATGAAATCAATAATTCAAAAAGATTTTTGCACCCCTATGTTCATTGCAGCATTATTCACAACAGCCAAGACACGGAAACAACCCAAGTGCCTATCAACAGATGAATGGATAAAGATGTGGTGTATATATATATATACACACACAATGGAATACTACGCAACCATAAAAAAAGACAAAATCATGCCATTTGCGACAATATGGATGGACCTCGAGGCTATTATGCTAAGTGAAATAAGTCAGACAGAGAAAGACAAATATTGCATGATTTCACTCATATGTGGAAGACAAACAAACAAACACATGGATACGAAAGACAGATTGGTACTTACCAGAAGGGAAGGGGGTGGGGGGAGGGCCAAAACGGTAAAGGGGCACATATGTATTGTGACGGATAAAAACTAGACTATTGGTGGTGAACATGATGCGGTCTATACAGAAACTGATATATAATAATGTACACCTGAAATTTACACAATGTTATAAGCCAATATGTCCTCAATAAAATAATTTAAAAAAGAAGAGGCAACCTGTAGGGGAGGCAGTTTCCCATTTTGTTTTGTTTTGAAATTTTTCCTCTTTTCTCTCCCAGCTTTGACCCAAGGGTGGCCCTAGCTGCAAAAGTGCACAAGGAGCAGAGGCAGCAAAACTCGCAGAGAATCCCTGCCCTTGTGTCCAGAGGATCGGGAAGAGGGGGCCCCGTGAGCTAAAAAGCAAGAGAGGGAATCTTCACTATTTTCCACATTTTCTCTTTTTTAATCCAGGCCCTGCCCCAAGGTGACTCCAGTTGCAGAACTCCACAGTGGCAACACAGGGAGCTACAACTCCGAGAGACATTCTGTATTTCTATCCAGAAGAATCAGGAAAAAGGATCCTTGTGGTCTGCAAAATGTTTATGTGTGTGTGCGTGGTGGGGGGGATCCCTGTTATTTATTTTTTTGTCTCTCTTTCCTCTCTCCACTTAGCCCAACGGCTACTCTGATCATGCAAAATTATGAGGCAGCAGAACAGGCAGCTTAAACTTTGAGAGAACCCTGTCTTTCTGGCCAGAGGACCTAGAAAATGGGCTCCCACAAGCCAGAGAGTGTAAGCGCAATCCTGGAGAGGGGAGAGCTGGAGCAGGTGATCCCCTGTTCTGTGTACAAACAGGAATAAACTCTGAGCTCACCCCGGGGCTGCACACGTGGGGGCAGACCCAGCAGCGCAGCAAAGGCTTTGAGAACTGAACTGACACGGGACCCGCTGCCCACACAGAAGGTGAGACAGAACCTTAGAATGAGCTCACTCCATTGACTGCCTGCTTAAACAATCACCATCTTCCAGAGGATTTTAACAGGACCCAAGTCTCACAACATAATATCCAAAATGCCTTTCATACAAAGAACCAGAAAAATGTGACCAATTCTCAAGGATAAAGACATTCAATAGAGATGTTAATCTCAGGATGATCCAGATGTTGGAATCATCAAACAAAGACTTTAAAGCATCTGCTATAACTATGCTCCCGGAGGTCAAAGTAAAGACATTTGAATGCATGAAAATGACTTGGAATGAATGGAAAAATAGTCTCTGCAGAGAAATAGAAACTATAAAATAAGATTCAAATGGACATTTTAGAATTTAAAAATACAATATCTGAAATAAAAAATTCACTGGATAGGCTCAATAGTGTAGTAGATAGAGAAAAGAGTCAGTGAAGTTGGAGGTAGATCATTAAAAATTACCCCATCTGATTAACAGAGAGAGAAAAGATTAAAAGAAAAAAAAAGAAGAACAGATCCTCAGGGACCTGTGGGACACTATCAAAAAGTTTAACATTCATGTTATCGGAGCACCAGAAGGAGAGGAAAGAGAGACGAGTGCAGAAAAAATATTTAAAGAAATGACTGAAACATACCCAAATCTGATGGAAGACATACATATTCAGATTCAAGAAGCCTCAGCAAACTCCAAACAAGATCAACTCAAATATAGCAACAGAAAATTTGACAGAGGAGAAGCATTTCGTTGGTATTTTCTCTTTAAATGAGTCTATTTCTAAACACACATCACATCATCCTTAGAAAACAGTAGCCTCATCCTGACTTAAAAACGCATTGTACAGATTACATGACTTGGCCTGCGTACTCTTTCGCTCCAGATCACATAAACATGGCCAGTGTCTTGCATGGTCAGGGGCATGGAATATAGTTTAATATCTTCTGTATCACCAATTTATTTTTCCATAAAAATCATCACTACCATCTTTCACTTATGACTGAATAGTTATTTAGCAACTAGAAATAATTTTGCAATTTAAAAGCTTTACTGAACCTTGTGTATCTTCAGCCTTGGGAATTTTGTCACTGATGAAATTTCCATTAGCCATTCTGACAAATTCATCTGAAAATGCCTAGAAATACAAAGACAGTTTTGACCACTACAATCCTCAGTAGATGAAAGAATTTGATTCATCAGGGCTTTTGATCCTGCATGCACACATATTTAGGAGAGAACACCTCTCAAAGTATTATTTATTTTCATTATAGATTTTTAAAGTTATGAAAATAATACATATATTCTGTTTGTACAAATGCAATTCTGTTCTACAAATAATTTCCTATGAAAATTATCAAAGATGTGAACAAAGATATAAATGGAAAGATATTCATTACAGTGCTATTTATAATCAAGGAAAAACAAAACAGTTTGAAAATTCAACAGGGAAATGGTGAAATAAATTTTAGTATATCCATGTGATAGAATATTTAGCAGCCATTAAAAATTGCATTTCCAAAGAATAGTTAATAGAAAAGGGAAATGGTCATTTTATACTATTAAATGAAAAAAGAATGATATTAAATTTCATACATAATCCCACTTTTAAAAGTACACATGTATCAAAGAATCCTGGAATGAAATACAACTAAAAAGAACTTATGCATTTTGTATTGTTCATAGTTTCTACAATGAACGTGTATTACGTCCATAATCGGGAAGAGCAAATAACTTGCCAATTGTTGAAAATTCAGTGCTAAGAGAAAAACCATCCCAAGGACCCAAACACCTCAGTTTGTAACTTCTTATTTGGACCAGGAGAGGAATGGCTAGGGCACACGTGCTTTCTGAAGGAAGAGGCTGGTGTCTGTATTCCAGGGTTAATAAAGGCATGAATTCCATTTCTTTGCCTGGTAGTGACACTTGAAAATGATCACTTTCTTCCTCCATGTAAACAAACCACAGAGAATTTTGTTGGAAAAAAACAAGTAACGTCTTGGCTAAAAGGCTGATGCAATAATGAGAGAGAGAGAGACTACAGAGCCAGGGCCTGAGGCTCACTGCCCTCCAGAGGCCAGGCAGGTAAGCTGCATGTGTAAAGGTGGGCTGGGTTAACGCTGGAGAATGACAGAGCACCTGCCACTCAGCCACAGCAAACTGTTCATGTAGAAATCCACGTTCAATGTGCCAGAACTTTTGAATTTTTAGGTTACAGTGGACATCTGGAGTTTTATGTGAAATGTTTGATTCTTAAATGTTAGCAACTGATTCAAATTTTTTAAAAATGGCCCACATAAGCCCATCTAGAGGTCATGTTCAGACCACAGGCTGCTGTTATGCAACCTCTGTCACAGTCTCCACCTACAAACATCTCAGTAAGTTTTGCTGATTTTGGGGAAAATATTACCAAAGTTTAACTGTCTTTAAAAGTCATCAGAGAAAAAGCGTCACAGCCATGTATGGAGTATCAATACTATTTCCAGTGACAGTAAAGGTGTCTGTATAGACTAATCCTTTTGCAGAAGATTTGCAGAGTACTCTGAGTCTTTAGGAAAGAAAATGAAGGCTGGAGTGACACAGAAATAGTGAGATTCGAAGGTTCAGGTCCGTGTCACACACTTACTCTCCTATTCACTCAGCCATTCATTCAAAAACTCTCAGCACTTCATGTCTCTAACTTAGTTCGAACTATTTTATGTGTATAAATCTTAGCTCCCAAAGTATGATTTATAGGAGGGAAAGTATGTGCTACATACCTATTCCATAATCCACATCACCTTGTACAATGCAAGTCATAGCGAGGTTGTTCAAAAACCATTTATTTACTAGAAATTACTGTAATTATGCAAGCCAACCAAATGAACCACATATTTTGCTTGGGTGGTTTGGCCATCTGATTAGAATTTAAATTAGATTTGTTTGCTTCCAAAAAACTTAAAGGTAGTGTCTAGATGCAGAAAAAATTAAGTATGACCTAAGAATTCAGATGGTCCAATGATCTGTGGACATCTCTTGGGTCGCTGACCTTAATCTGTTTAATTCTTGCACTATCGTGGAACTTTCAAACATTTAATGTCATCTGTTCTACTGGACTCTAAGGACGTGGAGGACAGGGATAATGGCCTCTTATTAAATGCCTCTCATTCTCCCATATTGCCAGTGAGTCCAGCGGCTCACCCATAGCTGATGTTCAGCAAATGTGAGCTGGTTGACGGACTCTCTATGACCGAAGATAGTTCTGGGGTTTCTGGTCCCAACTCTCCTCCTCCCATGGGGATGTGCTGAGTTCATTCTAACCACACCCTTCAGTTCTCTCTCATCCTGACTTTCTCCCATTTATAGGATCACAACTAGGCTTTCATATTATGTATTAAAACTTCTATGTTCATATAGAAGGGAATCCTATAGATTAAAAGAGGGTTAAGGGATATGTCAACTCCATTGCAATATACGGGCCTTATTTGGATTCTGATTCAAACAAACAAGCTGTAAAAACAAAATTATACATTTATGAGACAGTTTGAAATTTGAACATTGACTTGATAATTGATGAAATAAAGATATGATTGTCAATTGCTTTTGTGTGTGAAATAGTATTGTGGTTATATTACTTTTTAACAAGACTCCTAAAGTCTAAAATAAATACTGAATTGTTTATTGGCAAAATGTATATATCCGGGATTTGCTTCAACATAATATGGGAGGAAGGGAAATTAATGGAGATAGAGATGAAACACATTGGCCATAGGTTGACAGTTGTGAAGATGAGTGATGGGTACAGGGAGCTCATTATACTATTTCGTCTACTTTTGTATATATTTGAAATTTTTCTTAATAAGAAGCAAATTTTTTCTATATCCATAAATTTGTTTAAAATTTGCCATGCTACAACTAGTCTACACTACTCTTTTACTTTCCAGTATGGGAAATGCATGAAAGAACAACCTATTAGACCAAGAAGACATTTGAGAACATTAGGGCTCAGTTGCCAAAATAACCAGAAATGAGTGAGACTGTACCTGAATATTTCCAAGATCATTCGGGCGCAGGAGAAAGTGGACTTCTTGTAAAGTTGTCAGTTGACTCTTGCTACGAAATTTGAACACTTCTGAAATAATTAATTCAGCAAAAATGGTTTTAGGAAACCCCAAATTTCCAGTTCCTATTGCTGGAAATGCAATTGATTTCAAGGACAAGCTCTCGGTGATTTTCAAACATTCTCTGATTATGTCTTTCATGATCTGAAAAGCACAAAGCACATCCTTATACATTTTGCATAGAAATAGGAGTTAGAACAAAAAGAATAAGAATTTAGCAACTTTGTGGTCTCTGTCTACTCCTTTTTGCTTCAACAAAAGCAGGTTAAGGACAGTGAGAAGGAGAAAGAAAAATACAGGAGTAGATGAGGAAAAGGAAAGGAGAATGTGAGAGACCCTCCAAAAAGATTCAAACTCACTCATCAGTGAAGGAAAGAAGCAAAGCAAGGACTCTTCTAATCCTTCATTCTCTTCTGTTCTTCATGCCCTCGCCTCCCTTCCTCACTAAAGACACGCTGTCTTCAATAACTCTTCCCTGAGCCCCAATGATGGCTGAGCACTAGAGTCAATTTATATTATTAACTAGTCCTCAGGAGAAGTTAGTTAGCTACAGCTGAAAGAAAAGGCCATAATGATGGAACCCGCCAAGAACGTGACGTTATTACAGAAGAGAAGCAGACAGGGTCCAATCTACATTACACTGAAAGGAGAGTCCAAAGGGCTACCCAATTCCCTGGAGAATTTAAAACCAGGCCCACCTCCTGTGAAGACACGCTGCCATTACTCCAGTCCGGAGCCACCACATGAAGCACACGGTGGCAATGCAGATTGCAACCACTGGTTTGGAGAATCGTGCCCACGCTAA